TGCCGCAAGTTAATATGTAGTAAAAGTGGCACAAAATGAATATTTTGTAATTTTATTCTAATGATATCAAAGAAGCAATATTGCAATATTGCAATAACAACGTCTATAGCTATAGCTATAGCTATAGCAATAGCAATAGCAATAGCAAGCAATAGCAATAGCTATAGCTATAGCTATAGCTAATAGCTATATAGCTATAGTATAAGATTCAACTACGAAGTTCACATGGTGCATTCCTGAAGATCGGAGGACAAACTACAAATTAAGGTCATGCAGGATGATCACCACTTCAAAATCATACTATCGCAAAATAAGATCCGAAGGGGTTGTCAAATGGTATAAATAATATTAATTAAGATATTACTTTAATAACATTTTAAAGCGACAAGAAAATTTACAAAATTTATAATAATTCCTAAAATTATTTTCTTTTATGAAAAGATTTCAAAAAAATTTATCAAATGCGCATAATAAATTTGTATCCATTTTCGGTAAAGTACTATTCGGGGAAATGTCATTTCTATAAATTTCCTATCGGCAAAATTTCCTATCAGAGAAATGGTTAACAAATAATATGTAGATCGAATTTAGCGTTGAAATGATTTATAAATGATAATTAATTAAAAATGTGTTCCTTCAAAAAATATAAATAATTGCAAAATTTACTATTAAAAAAAAAAAACAAATACATAAATACATTATATATCTGAAAGTCGCTCATCTCACAATTCTTTATATTATTAAACTCGTGTTCTTTTTCTTCTTTCACTTTGAAATCTCACATTATAATATTATAAACTGGTTCATCATTCAGCAATCATGAAGTTAACATTGGTTTTATTGATTTTCTCGGCTTTTTTATCACTCGTCATTATTTCTCAAGCGGCTCCTACGAATTTTAACAAAAGAGAAATTTCATTTTTTTATCCAAGAGATAAAAACGCAGTAAACGGTGCTGATCCTTCCGATCCGAGAAATGGAGGGAAAGTAAAGGGCGCTGATCCTTCCGATCCGAGAAATGGAGGGAAAGTAAAGGGCGCTGACCCTTCGGATCCAAGGAATAAGATAAAGGGTGTCTGATCCTTCTGATAAAATTCAAATAAATGTCACAATATAATTTTGAATTTTTATCCATTCTACCGCTCAATTTTATTATTTTCATGTATTATTCTAAGAATAATTAATTTTTTCATAATTATAGTGAATTGTATTTATTAGATTTTATTATTATAAAATGTAAACCAATATTTGGTTCTTGATCATTTTTTGCTTAATAAAGAATTCATCTTCTCATATATTGTTGTGACTATAAAATCAAAAATATTTTATATGAATTGTATTTGTAAACAAGAAATGCGTTTAACACCAGGGACTTCATCATTGGATTAGGGATGGAGATGACTGTCAGTTTTAGTTCCAGAGTAAATTGGAGTGTGCTGAACTGATAGAATAATCAGTTTGGAATGAAGTTTAGGACTGAACTGGTTCTGATTAAATTATTATTTAGGATTGGATTGGTTCAGTCCCAATAGACTGGTTTTTGATGTTAATAATAATTTAATATGTAATTATTATCGGTATTCGGACTTTTCGCCGAAGTCCATTTCGCTGAAACCATTTCGCCAAAGCCATTTCTCCGAAGAGATATTTCACCGAAGGGTATTTCGCCGAAAGGACGTTTCGCCGAAATACCATTTCACCGAAACTCCATTTTACCGAATTCGCCGAAGCCATTTTATCAAATGGACATTTTGCCGAATGGACATTTCACCGAAAATTTTTTACTTTTATCGTTTTATACTAGATACATAAAGAAATCTTTTCTATAAAAAAATTTTGAATTAGCTGATTTTTATTAAGTTTGTCTCGTTGTTTATAATACATTAACCTTTTTTTTTACTTACTTCTTCGCGAATAAATGTTTTCAAAAAAATAAAGTTATTTATTTATTGCTTAACAATTAATATCAATTACTTGAATGAAAGTGATAATATGCTGGAAAGAAAAAATCCCTAAAAATAATTTAAATTTTATTTCATTGCGTGCGTGATGAATATTTTTTAATCGCTACCATTTTCAGTGAAACGTCTATTAAATTCGGCGAAATGGACGATTCGGTGAAATGGATTCGATAAAATGCACTTTCGGTGAAACGTCCTTTCGGCGAAACGTCCCTTCGGTGAAACTTTTCTTCAGCGAAATTGCTTCGGCAAAATGTACCGTAACCATTATTATTTATACAGAATAATAATCAAAATATAATAATAAAAACAATAATAATAAAAATGAAAAAAAAAGTAACATGAAAAATAAAAAATGAAAAAAAAGCCTAAGAAAAGATCTGGAACTCAAAAAAAATTAATAGGTTTTGTATATCATTTTGCACAATTTAATATAAGCAAAATTAGCTAATAAATTTTCAAATGAAAAAAATTTGTACATTTTCTCATTATTAATAGTCATTGTATGTAATAGTAATAAAAAAAAAATAAAAAGTACGCTCGTTACAATACTACAATATGAATTTTGCTAACTTGCCCTCTGGGTTACTAAATAACCTGGGTTAAATCACCCTCCTAAAATTTATATTTTTATACTTTACATAATTTTTTGCCTTTAAAAAAATTTTAAAAAATTATTTGTTTATTATTCATTTCACTTTATATAGATTTTATTTATTTGTACATTTTTTGACAATGTCTCTTACGTTTAAATTTGGACAAAATTATATAATTATATAAAATTTATTAGTAGGTTAAATCGCCCAGGTTGAATCACTCGGGTTAAAATTAGTCTTATACTAAAAGTATTAAATATTAACAAATTTTTATTGAAAATTTATATATTTTTCTATAATAAATATTCAATTATTTTAAAATTATAAAAAATCTTTTTTTTTTAATAAGGTTAAAATTTTTTTTCACGATAAAATTAATTTGCCGCAACTGAAATTTTTTTGATTGGTTAATTTAACGCCACACAAATTCAATTTTTCGGTTCACGTAACATTGAAATTTAAAATTGACCCGAGGACCCGGGGTTTATTGTTTATTAATAAAAAAAGTTGATATATAAAATCGGGACATCTGATTGGTTGACTTTTAAAGAAGAGGGTAAAGAATTTATTGAAGTTCTCAGCCACGTGATAAACTTACCCGCCAATAAAATTACGTATTTATCACGTGATAAACATCTTTTTTTATTGAAATTTGAAAAAGTGACCCGGCCGGGTGAAGTGAACCGAAAAATCGAATTTGTGTGGCCTAAAATAACTATCATTCTATGTTAATATTTAATTTAAAAAACAATCTGGCTATTGTATAAAAAAAGTAAATTAATTTTTTTAAAAAAAATAAATGAATGAATGAATTTCTCATAAAAATCTTAATTTTGTGCGAAACTTCACCAATATTTAATCATTATTGTATTAAATCATCATTGTATAAAAAATAATTATTTACTAAAAAAATAAAGATTGAAAAAACTTCTTTTTTAAAAACATCAACAAATCAAAGTGGCATATTTTTTTTAAAAAAAAATATATTTCTCATGCAAATCATCAAAAATTCAATTTGCCGTAGGATTCCTATTTTTTGATGGCTCAACTAAACATGCAGCAAAAGTGGCACAGGAAGTTCTAGCTCACAATTTTATTCTTTCTTGTACCCGTGATCTTTTTTTCATATGTCGAGCATTTCCTAAATCAGCGGAGCCTTTCCAAATTGATCAAAAAAACATAATCATGTATCGCCAAAATAATTTTTGTCAAATTTCAAGTTGCATTTTAGGCCGAATCGTTATGTTCATGGTGAAGTAAATAATCCTTTGGACCAATCTCCATCCCTTGGCATTGATTAGTTGATTATATAAAAATTTGATTAAATTCTCAGCGCCATTGGGTACTTATCTTATCTGTTATATGTAAAATTATCGAGAAATCACTAATTTTTAATTTTGGAAATGATCTTCGACTTTCCCAGCGTAACCTGAAAAAAATGTCACGAAAAATCACGTGACATTTTTTGTCACAACCGTCACACCCCACTGCGTTTCCATTTTCTATAGTATCTGAGGGACTTAGTTTTTTTCGAGTAGGTAAAAACTTATTCGTCACACCTTATTCGTCACAAGTGCGCCACACTTAATTTCAGTCAAGTTGCGTAATGCCGGCCATTTCGTGACATTTTTTTCAGGTTACGCTAGGGAAGTCATGATCTTCACTAACTCGTGAGTATTTACACTAGCAGTGCACGTGCACGTCGTACACCAAAAAACTCCGATAAATTAAAACTCCGATAAATTTATTAAAAACTCCGATAAATGATAAATTTTCTAAAAGAAACAAAAGAAACTCAGACACGTGATCATTTTTCTGAAAAATTTTTTATGGGGACACATATACTATAAACCTTTGAAAAAAGTTTTTATTTTCACTTTTATTTTTTAAAATTAAGACAAGAACTGAGGAGTAAACATGTATATAGATGCTAAGATTATAAAAAAAAAAATTAGAAAATAAATAGCAATACGAAAACATGAATTATTTCACGTGAAAAAAATATAGCCACTCAGAAATCTTCGGGAAATCATTACATTTTGGTTGATTACTAAATTTATAAATCAATTTCCTTTTACCAACAATGGATAGTATTAAATAAACGACGAAACAAATAACATATACATTCTCTATTATTCACACCCACGGCTTAATTGACCATGACACAAACCTAACTAGGTTAAACCATTCGAGATAATTAACCTATTTTTGTCTACATTATAATAAAAAAAAAAAAAAAGTTTTCAAATTAGAAATTTTGAATAACGGAATTTTAAATTATGCATTGATTAATTACTATCTGCTTCATTATTATCCGGTACTATTATTCGTGACAGACGGTCCTCTTTTATAAATAAGGACGAAAACCATTTTGAAGTACCATAGTTTTTTTTTTTTTTTAAAAAAAAAAAAAGAAAAAAAGTTCTTATTTCTCTGATTACCAATGAATGAAATTTCCGTAGAAATCGATAAAACCATTAAAAACGATAAAATCGATGTCGATATCGATAAGCCACATAATGGTAAACAAATTAATATGATAGAAGTATCACCAAATGGAAGTTACCTTGTTACTTATAGTCCTGAAGATGACTCAATTATCGGTTGGAATGTTAAAGATATAGATGATATGGATGATATGGATGGGGGACAACTTAAACCAGAACCAAACCACCATCATATTGATAATAACGTCAAATTAACACAATTAAGTGTTTCCGATGATAAGGAAATCGCGTACATTTGTGATAATAAATTAAGTATGTGATAGTAATTATTTGATTACACATTATTTAATATTTTAATTGCAATAACTTATTATTTTTGTATCTGATTAGAAATGATAAATATGAACAACAATCAAGAAATTGAATTACCATACGAAAAATTATGTATAAATTATCATTATTGCACCTTTTTCCGAACTCCTTTTGGATTCATTCAATTCATCCATTGTAGTGATGTTAAGGATAGACATGGTACAGATCAAAAAATTATCTTTATTTATCCCACACGAATTAAAAATAAAAAATTGACGTGTAAAGGAATATATAAGATACCTGAAAATTTTGAACTGATTAGCTTATCAAAATATGGAAAAGTATATTTACTTTCAAATAATTACGTTTATGCATGGGATATTTCTACTAAAACAAGTATAAGAATATTTGTTAATGAAAAGGATGAGGAGTGTAAGGTAATAAAGTACAATGAAATTACTTATTTATATTTAAATGTATAATACTAATTAATTATATATATTTTTACACTTCAAGCGGGACAGCATAGAAATTTCCAGCGATATAAAATTTGTTTGTCTAAGAATCAAGAATAAAATTATCGTTTATTCATTTGAATTAGAAATTCCTATTGCTTCTTTGAATAACGGTATTGTATTTAAGTCAAAAATTATGTTAGATTATTTTTAAGCTTTATTTTCAATTAATACTAATTCTATTGTAGATATTCAGTTATACAATTTTATAAAACATACATTTCATATTGGTTTATTTCCCTTATTATTTCCTTTATTAAACAGTGGATTTCGGAATTCCGTCATGGAATATTATTGGAAAAAATGTTTAAACCGATATCAAAACGACATTTTACCGGATATCATTCAAATTACAACAACCGGATACGCATTTGGAATTTTAGATGGAGATGTTTGGAAGATTAAAATGTCTGATGAATTAGATAATGAAATTTATGACAAAATTAAAACTAAAGTCTTGGATTTTAATGCTGAGGAAACATTTGAAAACTTAAATATTTATTTATTTAACCCATTTTTGAAAAATAGTTTATTTCGTGAGATTATATCAGATTCAAACCGTAAAGAAGCGATAGAATTAAATACAAATTCAACTAAATGGGAAATAAAAATTACTGATGGAAAATTGGAATTTCAAATTTCTAATAACGTATGGAATTTAATTTACACAAGTAAATTTAACGTAAAAGTTAATTATTTTTATGGAAGTATCCTGTTGAATGACAATGAAATTCTTATACTATCAGATATTGGTATATTTATTTATCATTTTAATGAAAATAACAAATCTCTCTGTTTAATCTATTTCTATTATACGAATTTTGACACAAATAATGTTGAACGGTGGTATCCTTTACCTTTACCAAATTATTATAGTTTTAAATTAAGTGAAGAATGGATTTCATATGTAAAAAATAATAGAGAAAGTCTTTTGAAATGTGGTGCTGAATTACTATCATATGCAATTGAAGAACACAATTTAGAATTGATAGATGATATCTATATAAAATGTTTAAATCATTTTAAACAAGATTTAAGAAACAATAAAGCTTTTTTAAGAATTATTCCTCTTCACAAACCAGAATATTATCCAGAGTATATATCAAGATTTTCATTAGATACTACAATGATTATAGATTCTCCTTTTTATAGTATAAATAGCAATTTGCATCTTCGCTCTTTTCAACATCTTCAAATGGTCGATTTAACTGATTCTATATTATGGACAGATTACAATGTGTTATTCCATAAAATACATGAAGATCATAAGATATTAATATACTTATTATTATTCAATTTTTAACTTTCCCAATTTATTTAGTATATATCTCGCCATATTTGTTTATAACAAAACTTGTGGGAAATAATTTTATTAATGACTTTTTTAAGATTGATTCCCCTATTTCTTTTTACCTTTATATTTTTGTTAAAATCTGGGTCTATATATCTGCACTAACAACACAAACAAAAACACCAACCGTTACTTTTATGATTCCTTACATTAAATTTGTTAATTATCCAAGAGATTACAATTGGATATATGAATTAATTTGGCCTCAATCTAGTCCATTTGTTAGAACAATAAATGAAGATATCTATAAAACATGGAATGGTGAAGCATTAATTAATTCTAAATGGAATACTTATGGAAAAAATTATTATATAATAATTTGGATTTTATTTATGTCTTTACTTGGATGTTTTACTGCTGTCGCAACAATTCCTCAGCAATATATTAATGATGATACTAGAAAAAACCTTTTGATAGCTTCAATTGTACTCGGACTTGTTCATTTGAATTATGAAATTCGCCAAATTATTTACGATCCCATTAATTGGATCAAGGATTTTTGGAATTATTTTGGTATGTAAATATTTAATTTTAACAATCTACATTTATTTAACAAATATGTAATAATCAATATTATTATTAATTTTATAGATATAATTGCATATGTACTTCCAGTTTACACCTCTATTTACTGGCTTCAAACTGATATTAAAGATGTACAATTACTTTCCTTTTCATGCCTCCTTTTAGACATCAAATTTCTGTTATTTTTAAGTGTATCTGAATCTGTTGGCACATATTTCGCTATTATTGTAATTGTTGCAAAACGGATTTTTTATTTTTTAATTATTTTATTTATCCTTATAATTAGTTTTGCACATGCATTTTTTATTCTATTATCACCAGATACTGATTTTTCTTTTGAAAAACGTACAAATAATAATGATCCCAACAATCCGTGGAATTTAGCATCAACTTATAGTAAAGTACTTGATGATGGTACAATTGATTCTAATCCATATATTATTCAACCGCCTAATGAAAATACAAACATGTTTATAGATTACAGAACTGCAATTTTTGCAGTATATTTATTTTTGACAGGTATTATATAATTATTACTATATGTTAAACATTTTAATTTTTTTATATTTATAAAATGAGTTATTGATGTTTTCCACTAGGCGATTCAAGCTCATTGACCAATTGGACATATATGAATAACCCATCACTCGTAATATTAATTGTCCTATTCTCATTCTTGATTGTTGTATATCTTATGAACTTGTTTATTGGATTACTCAATTTGGAAATTGATAAAAGTAATGATAGGGTTTTTTTATTAATTCAGAAGGCAAAGATTTTGGCCGAAATTGAGTTATTTTACTTATTACCAAATCAGAGACGTTTGGAAAAGTGGTTTCCCGAAGTAATGTATGTTAATTTAATTATTTTTCTTTTTTTTTAAAAAAAAAAATAAAAAATCACTCACTTGATATTAATATTTATAACAAAATTTATTCATTTAAGATATTATTGTGCGGATGTTGATATAACTCGTGCAGAAGTCAAAAAATTGATCACAGATGGTCGATGGAGTAATGAATTTCCGGATATGAAGAAAGATTTATTTAAAAAGATTAATATTCAACGTAATCCTGCTGAAGTTGACTTGAGGAAATTATTAGAAGAAGTACAGTCGAAATTGAAAAATATTACATATTTGTGATTTTATGTACTTTTAAATATTATTATAATTTGATTATTGAGATCAGTTTATAATCAATTATAATTTTAAGCATATATAATAAATAAAGTCATTAGATATTTATGTTTTATTAATTTTCATGTTTTAACGTTTCGATTTTATAAACATCGGATTCGTAAAAACGCGATTACTCAATTATTTTTAGCCGGTTTTTATCGACGCTAAAACATAAAAACTGAACTGAAGCAGTCACCATTCGGCGCGTCTCGATAAGCCTAGTCCTTTCAACAATCACGTGATAGCATTTTTATCGAATTAGACCCATCAGAATTTTCATTGAAATAGAGCACATTTTAACAAAAGATTTTAAAAAAATATTGAATGGATATTTCTTAGAAAAATATACCAATGCAACGTTAAATTTGACTGATTATATCCAGAAATAACGACATATTCTTCGCTTGAAATCACGACTTTGCACATATCAAATAAATCTTTTTTTTTTACTAAGAAAATTTTTCTGAACATTATTTCGTATTAAATAATTTTAAACTGATTTTAAATAACAATTATTATTTTTTTTTTTAAAAAAAAAAGACTAAATAATGTTCGTTATTATGATTGGTAGATTCAAATGGGTGCGTTTACAAATTCATTTAGATCGAATTTAGATTGGATTGCCGATCCATTTGGTTTCTTATAAAATCCAATCCAATCTGTGTTTACAAATACGAGCGTCGGATTTTGAATTTTGTATACCACCTTAACACATTTTAGTTTAGACCTAAAAGTTAAATAATAATGAATATTCAAAGACGTTCTTTGTTTGTTTCAATTATATATTTAATTTTTTTGGACCAAACCATGATTTTTTTTTATTGTTTTTAAGGTTCGCCTTAATAGAATTTTGCGCGTTATCATTTTTATTAAAAGTTTCACTGCCATGAAGTGTTGTTTCCATTATTTAAACGAAATATGAAAGAAAATTTAATATGAAAAAAAATTTTTCATCAAAAAAAAAATTATATAGGTGGGTCATAGGGGGTAACATGTGGTGGTAGGACTGGTAGGTTGGTGGAAAGTAGTACGGTATGTTTAATCGTGGGGTACACCCTGGATTGGAAATTTAATAGTAAAATCTGATCTAAATAAATCAAAATCGATTTTGTAATTTGTAAATATGGGTTGAATTGAGGCGTCGGCTCAATCCGATCTAAATGAATTTGTAAACGCACCCAATGTGATTGGCAAATATCACGTGCTCGACAAAATCATGAATTCGATTGTAGTAAAAATTATATTTTATATGTTGCCAGATGTGACAACATTAAAGAAATAATTAATAAATTCGTACTGAGAATTTTATCATATTTGATTATAATTATAAAAGTATCTGAACATCAGTTACATGTAGGGATGGGGACGACTCGCTCGGTTCGGTACTGATACTATTGAAAAAGCCGAGTTGAGCAGAATCAAATCGAAACCAGTTCGGTCCCATAATTGGTTTGTCCCTTCGGTCCAGATCTGAGTCAGTATATATCAAAATCTATTACAGCTGATTTCATAATATACGGGACACCTAGTTACAATGTTACATACCGATCGTTAGATTCTGAGCAATGGTACCAAGTGTAGTTTTTATTTTATTCTGAACTATACCGAATCTTGCCGAGTTTCTCTCGGCATGAAGTAAAAATTAAGGGTATCTCGTATATTATGAAATCAGCTGTAAAACAGATTTGGAACTGTTGTACCAACTACCAAATCGAATGGAACGAACAGACTCAAGTCAGTCGCTCAACCCGAACTTTTTCGATTTTGAACAGGGCTATTGTTTGAAGTTCTATAATACAGTATGTAATCATGGGCGTTTCTCTGTTCACTCACGTGATTGTCAGTAGGGATTCTGCCAAAATCGAAAATTCGTAAAAATCGAAACTATAGTGCCGGCCAGAATTACGAAATTAAAACCACGTGACATTGGCTCTTTGCGTTATGCGAAATTTTGTACTAAAGTTTTAATTCTGGTCGGAATTATAAGTTTATTCGTGCAATAAACGTTTTATTTTAAATGCAAGATCATAAAATTTATTGGCCAGAAATTTAATGATGCACAATCGGTTAGAAACGATTAATCGAAATAAAAAATCGAATTTTAGAATCGAAAGTAGTCGATTCTAAAATTGATTCTAATTATGGACCAATCCATAATTGTCAGCAACCAAAATTTAGTATCTTTTTTCGCTTCGGGCTCATAACGGGTTCCGTTTCCTAGTTTATAATTCCTGCAATGGAGTTTAAGTTATATTAAAATTAGAGCCGGTTTTCTTTTTTTTCCATTAGTTATACAAGAAAATTAAAATTTTTTCGTAAAAAAAATTATTTATAAATATTATATAACAACACCCAGAATGAAACTTTGTAAGTAATATAATTGATTTATTTATTATATCTTGTTAAAAAATATGAATGATTTAGACATAAATAAAATATATTAAAAGATATAATATAAAACATAAACGAAGCTAGTAAGTTACAATATAAATTTATATTTAATAATTAGAGTGTCCAGGATTTTAAACAAAAAGTGTGGTTTGGTGCGATTTTTAATTCTGGCCAGATTTAGCGTAATTTCGGCTGGAATTAACATAATAATTTTAACTTCAAATTCACTATCTTAAAATTTGATAAATAAAAACCAATCATGTGATCATAAATCGACCAATAAAACTCAATTTACTGCGGATAGTGTGAAAAATGTAAAACTTTGCCAAAAAATGCGGCCACACCAAAAGTGTGAAAAAAATAACAAAAAGTGTGAAAAAGGTGTGATCGTTCTATCCTGGACACCCTAAATTTTAATTTAAGAATAGGAAACTTTTATTGGCCCATTTACACACGACAAAATTTTACCATCCGAATCGAATACTACATAAAATAAAAAAGAAATATTAGTATTATATAAAATGGTTTAAAGAGCAAAACCAAAACATTATTAATTCATGTTATTATTTATGTACCAGAAATATTAAAACTATATTCAACTACATTTTTAGGTTCATCAGGATGTTTTTCAATGAACCAAGATGCAGTAAAAGAGTAATCTCCTTTTTTTACTGGGCATTCGGATCCACTTTGTTTAACAAAAACCTCGCAAAAATCTTGTTCATGTTGAAATGCTACTTTGGTTGGTTCGTCCTTAAAATATGCCGTATATACAATCGTTGTACCCTGTTTAATAATTTCAGTTGCTGTACCAGCCAAATGAACAGTAATATTTTGGCCTGTGACAACTGGATTCGGGGTATGACTTAGTGCAGTAATTGAATTTGCAAAGCTGCCTTTGCACTGAGTAAATCCATTGAGTTGATCCTGACGTTTCAATGGAGTTGGAGTTGATGTTGCGAACGACACTAAAATCAAAATAATAAAAATACTGGTAGGATTCATGTTATTTTTGTAATTTAAAAAATTGAAAAAATATATATATGTATTATATATTATTTTTTGGGGGGAACAGGAAGACTGAAACGATACCGTTTTTATATGCGAATCTAAATCTTGAAATCAAATGACAAACAATCTAAAAAAAAAATAAAATTTCTCAGATTCTTTTTTGAAATATCTTTATTTTTAGAATTTAGCCAAATGAACATTCATTCATGGGCTGTGGATACTTCTTTTAGTTAAACAATACTCATTACATGATTTCATATGCCTAAATGCATCTTAATGAATGAGTTCATTTATTTATTTTTATTTTTATTTTATTATTGAACGTTAGAAAATAATTGCTTTTATGGAAAAAAAACAATATCATTCTTGTTTTTTTTTTCATCCAAATTAAAAATTTCAAATTTTTAGAATGATGTCGTAACCTTTCTATAATAACCATTGAAAAAAAGGAACGTTTCTGAATTAGTAAAAACCTTAAGTGGTATTTTTTTTTATTATTATTTGTGGCGTTAAAATAAGGATCTTTTAATGATATTTGCGCATAATCGAATAATTTAAATGAAATATCATTATATGTTATTTTTTAAATCTATCCGTTTCCGCATAATCTGCATGGTAATCCGCATAATCCAAATTTAGAATTCGTTGCGGTGCAGATTTTTCCTGATTTTAAATTATTTTTGGCCGATCGGAATTTTTATTTTTAATTAATACTGATGAAGGAGGAACTTTGTTCCAGAACGGAGGAAAATATAATTAATCACTTTGTTGCACGATAGAGTCATAATGTAAATAGGTATAATCAAATACTTTTTTCGCTTATACCTTACTATTTTTATAATTTAAACGGTTATTCGTGCCCCAGTAAACCATGTGATTTAATGATCTACAATCACGCTAACTGCGGTTTATTAATTTCATCGTTTAGTTAAATGACAAACTAGCTCAGCCACTCTGCATAAAATAAATAAATAAATAAATAAACTTGCTTAGCCAGAAGAGATCCTTCTAGATTCGAGTTGTTTGATCAAAGTGTGAGTAAATGTACTCTTTAGACATAATTCTTATTTATAATTGCCAATGAAATATTTAATTTATTATCACAATATATATATTTCATTTTCTAGTAAAAATAAAATTATGCTTAATATAAATACTTTTAAAAAATAAATTTTAGATTTGTGGATATTTCAAAAATTCTGTTATTTTAATTTCCGTTTTCGTAAGTTCAACGTGATTGTAGATCGTCCAATCAAATGGTTTACTACAGAGGAATAACAAAAGTGGGAGGGTACGCTAAATTTATCAATACTTTGAAAGTAATTTAATAGTATCATTGCTTTGCAAAATAAGATTCCGATTATATTAGTGTATGGCATAATTACAAAAGCTTATTTATTAAGAAAAAAAAATAATATCCGGTAAAATTTTTTTTGCATATACGATTATACGTTATAGAGGATAAGATGATGTAACATAATATAATAGCAATGTAATATGTATTATTTTAAAAGAATTATGTTAATTTTAAAAACTTTCATAATATTATTATAGTACCTTATAATAATAATCATATTTATTAGTCACTATGTTACTACAAAATTAACGAAATAAACTAAATATCAAAAAAAAATTGCTACGAAAAAAAAACGATTATTTTTAATTTGTAAATATCTTCAAAAAAAAAAGAATTTAAGATATAAATTCGAACTCCGTCACATTTCTTCCATATACTTCACTCATGAATACCTCTCGTTCGATATTTAATACCTCTCGTTCGATATCAAATACCTCCCGTTCGATATCGAATACCTCCCGTTCGATATCTAATACCTCTCGTTCGATAGTGAATACCTCTCGTTCGATATCGGAAACCATATTTTGTTTATTCTTATAATTACGTTTTTTATTATATTCTTGAGGCTTAAATTGCTTAAATTGCATAAATTCGGCCCGTTTTGCAGTAATACTATTTGTATTACGTGCATGACCAGAAAAAAATTGTTGAAAATCTTTACCAGCGATTTCCCAAGTCTCGCCTGCAAACCTCGAGATGTCTACAAGCAACTCTCCTCGCAACACATTTTGCAACAGCCCTCGATAAATTATGAAACCGTTGCAACGATAATATCGCGTAGATAATTCAACAGGGGAGGGTACTTCGATGCAACGTTGCGCTACGATTAAATAAATTTTGTTTCCATCGATGAAAAGATACGGTGGTGACATAAGAAATTACGTAATTGTAAACGAAAAATGCGAATAAAAATAAATTTTACGACCGGCAAATTTTTGATGGAAATATTTACACTCTTTTTATAAGATTCTGAGGAATCAAATCGCCTATAATTTTTACTTTTGAGAACAGATATAATATTATTATGAATGTATGTATCAATTTGTGCCAAATAACTTATTTTTATCAGTCAAAACCATTTTTATCGTTAAAAAAAATCTCTCCAAAATAAATATACTTTGATTCATTTTTTTATGGACTATTCACAATGAAAACCATTTTATTTACCCAAATTTGAATCTTGGTATTTACGCGGAGAAAATAATTTAAAGTTTAAATTGGAATTTATTATATAATATAACTCCACAAAATTATATCAAACATGAAAATCCCGAATTTTATATACTACAATTGCTTTTAATATATACAATATATTTGGATGGAAGGTAAACACGCGACTTAAGTCTTAACGATGAAATCTGATACGTTAATTTTATAGTTCATGTTACGGAGAATTGAAAAAGTAATATCACAATTATACAATCAAAAAAATATTCTTCATTGGATATGTGATGAGAAAAGACCTTCTCAATTATGACTGATTAGGCGTATAAAGTATATTATAGAAAAATAGATGGAATATAGAGTAAACGATTAAGATCAACATTAACAAATTCGGCATATGTATCGTATAAATTAAAATTTTGGAGTTATCCAGAAAGAAAACTTTTTTTTTTTTTTTTTATTGAAACTATAACAAAATTATTACGCGACGCGCTTAAGTTATAAAAACTTTGACAGCTTATCAAATTTACAACTTATTTATGTAATTTATGCATAATTTGGACATCTGATATTTCTTTTCTTGTGCGACAAATCAATTTCCCATTTAAGACATGATCAACATGATCACATTTACATTAACCTGAAATAGTCATTTTAAAAAGCAAATCTATGATCAAAGATACAGATTAACAATAGTGTATTCTATAATTTCCCGTTTGTTCATTGTCCATCTTATTATAGTCTATTAGATAGTATGACGAAATAATTCCATTTTTGTCATAATATAAGCCATTACACAAGTCATGGGTTTAAAGATTTTTATTTTAGAAAATTCAATATTGATTTTTTTTTATTTATTCAAAAAATAGAAGTGATAATAGTAAATTACACGCCTAACTGCTTAGCGAATCAAATGACTTGGTTGATCACAAAAAAATTTGATAATGATCGGCATTTATTCGACGTATAATAGATCATTCTTTGGCGTTTCTCGACGTTCTAAATTTCTAAATACGAATTTATTATAAATCTTTCATTTTATTATAATCGAAGAAAATAATTGAATGAATACATTATCGATAAATATTATGTAATTGCATTTTCATTTTATTTCATTTATAGAATATATTCTTTACACAAAAAATTCTATTTTAAAATCAATAAATTTCCATAATTATAACTATTACAATTTTTGAACCGAGACAATTCACAATGTAGTCCGAAAGTTAATATATATTTTAAATTTTTATAAATCGTTAAATATATACTTTATTTAGCTTCCCTTTATTAATTGATAAAATAAACAATTTTGAAAGAAAACTTTATGATCATATAAAAGTAGAATGATAGATTTATTTTAGAATAATAGAAAAATGAAAATTTTATGCTATCAATAATAATAATATAAATTTATTCAATTAAATAGGGAATTCAGCCAACAATATTGTAAATGCTTTGCAGTTCAGACAATATTTTAATATTTTTATTTAATTACTTAATTAACTTATGGTTATCTAGCCTATCTATTGATAGATGATACTCCGTTAATTCTCCGCATCAATATAAACGGATGAAAGTCGGAGATTGATCACGTGTAATCGAATTTTTTACTAACTACCCTACCAAAAAAATTTCGGTATGACTTTATATTATTAGTCTAAAAAAATATTAGATATAACGATAAAATAGACCGCAATCAAATAAATATTTTTCACAGCTCTCATCTTAGTATTTTAGTATTTTGCGGGAGTATAAAGGTGAGCTATCAAGTTTTGAAGATTTAATACATTATAAAAATTATCTTCTTATTGTAAAATTTTAAAATAACAAATAATTTATTCTAAAAACTCCGTGAATATGATACTTTTACGCAACTTATAATTACCATGTTTTTATGGCTATAAATTCCAGGAAATTTTAAAAGGGATCATGAGAAATATTTTAAATAAACATATATTAGTATTTCTATTGTTGTACAAAAAAATTTGACCAATGAAATTCATCACGAAATTTAAATGATCGATCAATTTGGATAAGTTTGATCAATCAATAGTTAGTTCGATTTCGAAGGACAATATTTGTGACCGATCATTGATTGAATCATTATGATGTAATATTAATAATTATAATTGAGATCATATGATTATTTTCCTGTACAAAACTCGGTCCTTGGCATGTTTTAAGATCACTGTGCAAATTTTGACGTCTTATTGGAGTTGATGATACGAATGCCACGAAAACCAAGATGACAAGTAAGAAATTCATTTTATAAATCGTTTACATTTACTATATAACTTATTAAAAAAAAAAAAAGAACGAGATAAGGACGAGATAATACCGTTTTATATAAATTATCATATATAGTCCCGAAATTAAGCCACCGCAAATAAGCCACCCGAAAAAAAGCCTGCATCATGATGGTTTTAACCGCTTTAACCGTTTGCTGATAAGCAAACGCTTGCTTAAAGAATGTTTATGGTTAAAAGACACAGAATAAAAGTGAAGTATACATAATTACAGTATATTCTCAATTAAAATTAAGTATTTATTTCTTTTTTTAGACTCGTTTCTATCAATCAAAATAACAAAAAAATAATCATGTGACGGATATCCGTCATTTACAGTGCTGCGCTTATTGTGCTTATTGTCATATGACGCAATTTATTTACGTAATCACTATTTCAGCCAATGTTAAGGATAATGAATAGTGAATATAGTGAATTCTTAAAGAGCGTCAGAAAATGTAAAGATGAACGAAAAAAATTGCTGAAATTAGTGGATTGTCGCAGGATTTAAAAAGACATGTAACTATCCACGGATTTACTTGGGTTACGTATACAGTAATTGTAGATGGAATATTCACTATTATTTGCAAAAAAAAGTTATATTATCACTGGGATAAACTCACGTTCATATTCATTTTGGCAGAATATTGATTATACTGCTAACAACGTTGTTTGACGTGCATACTGAATATATTTTATAATGAGATATTATATATAATTTACGTTTAAAGAGTCTACACAAGTTGAAAATACATATAACTTAACAGTTCTAATAACCAGGGATTGACGTTTCCTTCAATACAAGATAAATTTTTTTACCATCCGGATTTGAGACCGTATAAAATTTAAAAAATATAATAAAGTATTTAATGAACAAAGTTTTATAAAGTCAAAATTTTATGTTACTAAGCGTCCTCGTAAAGAATTTAAGTGCATTTTTAGGATCATTAGAAATAGCTTTTGCCGTAATATTTACGGTAAGATCAAAATCATCCGTTACTAGAGTAACTGGACAAGTGAAACCACGATAAATTTACAAAAATTTTCATGTTCTAACTTTAGTTCATTGATATGTTATCGAATGTTTCAACGATGCTTCTTTTTCAATGGGTACAGTTACTTTACCGGTCATATGATCAATAATTAATTAACCCACGGCAATTGGATATTATATGAAGTAATTTTGTTTCATTAGGAAAGATCCCTTCGCACGATTTTAAGCCGTTAAGAGCATCTTGGCGGTTTATTGGTTTGATGATAATGCGAAAATCAATATCAATTATATGAATTATCCTATTATAATAATCGTACGTCTTACTTGTGACTTTTTTGGTTAGATAACGAAAAAGAAAATTGTGCATATCGTACGATCGACATCATCAAATAAGGACGTTCCAAATTAATTTTTAGTTTAACGTCCTCCCTTTAAAAATTTCAAAGGTAATTTGAACAAATATCAAAATATGTTTAAAGCACCTAAAATTGAATGGTACCGAAGATTTCCGATTTTACCCGAAATTTTAATTTCCCCTTTATAAAAAATTTTATCCGTTATTTTTTGTAAAAACTCTGTAAAATGAGCCTTTCACGGATCCATTCACGGAAAATGTAAATAATTGGATAAATTCCGTAAAATATGAGCCGTTTTGTATTATTATTATCCGTACAATCGTTACAGTAAATAGATGTTCTAACAAATTATTTAATCCTATTATTTTTGATCAATTACTGTAAATACGGATGCATGTTACCGAAACATTCCGAATTACTGAAATTAATTAAATGCTGTAATGTAAAAGTACGCTTCAGGGGCTTTTATATGCCATACTTTTACAGATTATGAGTGGATTTGTATAAAAACAATATAAGATAAAAATAGCATTTAAAGTATATTTATACGTAGAAAACATGTTTTTAAAAATACTTTATTAACTGATAATGAAAATAGAATTATTATAATCTATTATAAACTTTATCTTATCGATTATGGATAAGAAATTTTGATGTTCCCTTCAATACATGATTTGTTACTATATAAAATATAATAAAAGGTTATTATTAATTAAAATAATTACTAAAGTCAAAGTTCTGTTAAAAACTTACTCTGTATTCTTATTAAATATTCTTTTACAGTATTTTTAGGGTCATTAGGAGATGATACTTCCACAAAATTTGTGGTAAATCAAAATTCTCCTTTACTGGACAGGAGAAACCACTAAGCGTCACAATCGCTTCACAAAAACTGATTTCATGATGGAATATTTGTATATTCTCATCAAATCCCGTAATCTTATACAATGCACCGTTTTCAATAGTTACAGTTGCTTTACCGGCAATATGAATAGTTGCTTCGCAATTTGGGAAATTATCTTTACACGATTTAAAACCGCTAAGCGCATCTTGACGTCTTATTGGAGTTGACGAGACGAATGACGAAAACCAGGAAAGTAACAAGTAAGATAATCATTTTAAAATCGGTTGTAAAAATATGAAAAGTATTAAATAATTATTTTTGAATAAAAAGAACAAGAATAATACCGTTTTATATAAAATATCGCATATTCCCAAAGTTAAGTCTCGTTATTTTATGCAAAAAAGATTGTATTTTTTTTTTCCTTGGAGAATTTTTGCATTTCTTTATTTTGGGAATTTTCTCACTTTCTTTATTAATCCTTAGCCGTTAGCAAAATTAGCATATGAAAAAAGCTCCTTAAACTCGTAAACAAAATAGGACAAAGAATAAAGAATGAATTACACATATTTATATTTTCAATGGAATTTAAGGTTAGTTAATTATCTTTTTTAGACATATTTTATGTATGACGTATCAGAATTTTCTCTCTAGAAATACTTTAGGCGTGAGAAAATAGATGTAAATTGAATTTCATAATTAGAACGATCGACACCGCAACTTTTTCCATATTTAGAAACTAAATCAATAATCATTATTTGCGTATAGTCATGTGGAGTTTTTTCGGGTTTTTCTTTTTTACTGCTTTTAATTTTTTTAAGATAAATATTTTTAAATTATGAATTTAGATGTTCTACTGTTCGAGTTTTTTTTTTAAAAAACAACCAAATATCATGTGACTTATGGATCGTAGCTAAATGGTTACGTATTATATTATAAATTATTATCTTATAGAAAAAAATGTCGTATATTTTTATTATTTTATGCTAGTATTTTAAATCATTTTTTGTAAAATAATAATCTATTACTAAAATAAATAAAATGTACAACGTTTAAGTAATAATTTATATAATGATGTTAGCTAATAATTAAGGATAAGAAAATTTGATGCTTCCTTCCATACATAATAAATCTTTACCGTCCGGATTTGTAACTATATAAAATGTAATAAAAGGTTATTATTAATTAACAAAATTTGTTAAAGTTTTATGTTATTTAAAATCTTACCAATTATCTTTATATCATTTTCTTCTATAGTATTTTTAGGATCACTAGAATCACTATCTGGTGAAAACTTGGTGATAAAATCAAAATTATCTTTTACTGGACATTTAAACCCACTGGGTTCGACAATTGCTTCGCAAAAATTGATATCATAATGGAATATTTGTTTATTCTCATAAAATCCCATAAACTTAAACAATGCTCCGTTTTCAATAGTTACAGTTGCTTTACCAGCAATATGAACAGTAGTTTCTTGACCTATGATAATTGGATTGGGAGTATATATATATGTGGTAAATTCGTTTGGGAAATTACCTTTACAAGGTTTAAACCCGCTAAGCGTATCTTGACGTCTTATCGGAGTTGATGAGGCGAGTGTCACGAAAATTAAGAAGATAACAAATAAGTTATTCATTTTATTAAAAAATCTGTTTGAAAATTATAAAAGCAACGACTCACCGACACCATTTTTATAAGAAATCTCTAATATTCTTTTTTATTTAGTTAGACAATAAATAAAAAGGAAAAGAGCATGTGAATTGACGTACGATCATCATTTCCTTGGCAAAACTTTTTTTTTTAAATAACGATTGAAACAATAACTATATCCATATTTAGAAAATCAATAATAACCATCTTTGTATTTACCAAATTTAATTAAAAGACAAAGAACTTTTAATGACAATATGATGCATATTACTCCGGATTACCGAAATCTAAAAAAACTTGAGGCGCGAATTTTTCCAAATATCATGTAATAGTCCGGAGTGAAGCGAAGGACCACAGAATTCTAGACATGATGGCACAAAATGCCCCCGTTGTTTGCTCGTGTTGTATTAGTCGATCGATGAAAAAAATTGTCAGTTTTCGTGGTCAATAAATAAATTACATGCCTCCCATTCCATAGTTAAGTATAAGAATATACAGTTTATTCAAATATTCAAAAATATCAATATATAAATTGAAATTACATATAATAAATTTTCAACTATTTAAAAAATACTAAAATATAAATTAAAAATAAATGCTAATTAAGTTAAGCTGATAATTAAGGATAAGAAAACTTGACGTTTCCTTCAATACATGATAGATTTCTCCCGTCTGGGTTCGATGCTGTATAAAATATAAAAATATAAAAAAAAAGTTATTACTGAATAAAATTTTATAAAGCCAATAATTTATAAGAACTTACTGAGAATCCGAACAAAAAATTCAAGTACACTATTTTTTGGGTCGTTTGGACTAGTATCCGCAGGGAAAGTATTTACAAAATTAAAATCCCCCTTCACCGGACAAGTAAAACCACTTGGAATAACGACTTCCTTGCAGAAGTCGTCATTATGTTGTAGCACTTGTTCATTATTATAAAACACAGTATTCTGATATATCGAACCTTTTTCAATGGGTACAGTTGCGATACCCTTCATATGAACAGTGACAACTTGACCTGCGACAATTGGGTTGGGAGTGAACTCATGTGAAGTAATTTTATTTGGGAAATTTCCTTGGCATTCTTTAAAACCGTTGAGTGCATCCTGACGTCTTATTAAAGTTGATGATGTGAATGTCGCGAAAATCAAAAAAAAGATAGCAATTAAGATATTCATTTTTCATATATTTGTGTGTATAATTTTACCAACGGCTTTATGGTCATTTTTACATTTAAAATAAAGCATCGTAGATCACTGTTTTTTATTATATAAATATGTAATAATAGAATCAAGTGCTAATTATAACTCGTTAGCCGTTAAAACAAGAACGCCTTAAACCTGTGTCAACAAAATATAACTTTATTTAGTTAGACAAAGAAAGTGTGCATATTTCGTCATATAGAATATCATAATTAAAAATTTTTTTTTTCCTACTTTTTCATTTTTAAGAACGATTGACATCACAACAATTTCCATATTTAGAAAAATAATGATTTTCTTGAATCATCAGCTGAATTCAAATTGATGCCACATTATATTTTCGTGTGAAATAAATCAATTAATCAACAGACAATATTTTGACCAGTTAAATATGCGTATTACCGAAAAATTCCGAATTATCGGAATACCCAAAATGAAAATGTAAATTCTATGTATAAACATTTGAACGTACTGTATATACTATGAGAGAATACTTATTTTTACTGGTATTATTTGATTATCAATCAAACTGATAACTGATATCTTGATCTCTTTCTATAAATGTCTTTATTTAATTCCCTTTTTTAGTTGCTTATTTAAGTTCAGAAGTAATTTTATACGTGGGAACAACTTCAGTTTTATTATTAACTTGAAGAATGAGGAAATAACCGTGCGGCTTTATATTAAAACGAAAAATAAAAAAAAGCCTTGTGCAAAAGATTTCGTCATCATAATTATTAACAAAATCGGGAGTAAATGAAATAAATATTATATTTATAGTATATTTGAATTTTAATTAGTATAACAACAAATTTTTGATATAACGATAAAAGAAGTGGTCTTGACTTGAGTCAACCGGAATCACGTGGTTGATAGTGCCGGCCGAACCCTATTTGTAATTCCTGCTGGCATTATGACTATAAGTTAACTCGAGTCCTGACTCGAGTCCTGGACTCGAGTACTCTTCGAGTCAAAAAAATTCTTGACTCGTTTTACTCGAGTTGACTCATCCTGACTCGAGTCCAAGCTCTAAGTGTAGTTTTTAATTCCGGTAAATATTATTTTTTCAATTTTCTAGGAAATTTAGGCATTGTATTTGATTAGGCAATGTATTTGATTAGAAAATGTATTTTGATTAGACATTGTATTTTGATTAGACATTGTATTTTGATTAGACATTGTATTTGAAAATGGCAACAGCAAAAATTCGTAAGATTTTCGATACTTTCCTGTACACAACCACAACCAATCTGCTGAGCAAATTAATATTTTATATTCACATGATTTCATCTTATAAATTAATATGATACATATGATACTAAAGTTTTTAAATCCTTAAAAAAAATTATTGAAAATTTTTATATCATAATTTATCTATTTGTTTGTATTTTAATTTATTTGCTAAATTAACAATAATTAAGTTATATTTATTGTTATTACAAGTTTTTTTCAAAAAAAAAAAAAAAAAAAAAACTAGTTATCATTGACTTTGCGTAAAATGATCAATCTCCGACCGATCTTAAAAATGTCTCAAATATTCTGAAGGATCTCCCTTCCTTTGGATAATACCTCTTCAAAATGGACATATAAATTATAAATCAAAACCGGAGGAAATAATCAAAAAATATTTTGGAAGTGATATAATTATTATATTTATTTGCTAATCAAATCTCATTTGGAGCGGTGCATTATCAATTTCAATTGTGCTAGACTTGTACAAAACATCTTCTTGGTAGTATTGAAATTTAGCTAAAAAGGAGAAAATTACAATAGAACGACTCAAAGTTGGTTCCAGAGCTGAAACTCAGTTCTTGGTTCGAGTGAAACCAAATAGAATGAGTAGATGTTCTCTTATCATCAAGATTTGCTAAATTACAACATCCCGATTTTTCATCAGATAGATGACACGTTTATTTATATTCAATTTCGAATTCATTTGGTAATTAATGATCAAGCAAATAATTTCTTCGAATTATGTGATAATTGGATAAAGTGATATGATTATTCAGGTTACACTTCGTAATTTGTCCGAAGCTATAGTTGAGGACATTTACGGTTAGACTCTCTTCATACAAGGTATGTCTGTCCGCGCCCGTAATCCACCAATCATTTTTATTGTCGTGCTAACACGTTTTACTCCTTTTAGTATTACCAGTTACAACTCGTCCGCTCCTACCTTCGCGCTTCGCTGTGTATCCGTGTACGTTCTGTAGTACGTTCAAATTTGCTTTGTTATCTGTGCTACTTATGATCCATCAGCGCTTCGGACATTCCAACGGTTCCGTTCTCCTAGTTTAGCAAATAATTGGTAGTCTAATTACTGGACAGCAATGGGTAGCGCAATAGGCACAGCGTACATCAAATATCATAGATTTGTAAATTTGGATATTAACTTGAGTGATACTAAATTTATTTCTTTTTTCTTTATTCCAGATTAGTTCTAGCTTAGAATCATTAATAATAAAAGTATCGTAGAGTTAACCAGATTCATCTACTTTATAAAGGCGGCTGTTACTTAATTTTGCTGCGTCATTTATTTGAAAAATGAAAGTGGACCAAAGAGTGACTTTACCACCAGTCTAGGCATAACCCTCAAAAGGAGAAATTAGAAATATTTTCATTAACAATACATGAAAATAAATTTAGGATTTCAATCAACAATGTTTTTTATGTGAATATTTCAAAAATAATTCCAAGTTATTTTCATTATTCGTATTAAGATTAACGTGATTATAGATCGTCCAATCCACAGGGTTTACTTACGCATAAAATTTTTCCATCCTGCTTCCCGCAATTTTCTTGAATATCATTTCAAGGAATATTAATATATTGTATACCGCATTTTTTTTTTTTTTTTTAAAAAAAAAAAATCGTTTATTTAAATAATTATTTTTAACAAATAAATAATCAACGTATATGTAGTGAATTTGACGCATTTTTTGAATAACTACGTTAATTATCTTCCTTGATTAAAACAAGGTTGCTGAATCATCTGATAAGTTGTGGCGTGGTTAAAATATGAAAATCTGCAATAATTAAATTATACACATATTCTTGATTTGATTCAAAGTAAAATTATAAGGGTAATGGTGCTTTTACATTTATTAAATCAAGGTAAACTTTTATCATTATTAAAGATATATAATATCTCTTTACATAATCAAATTATTGTCTTAATCAAATTTCTCCTCCATTCTTCAAAGTATAATTCCAGGCATCATACCAAAGATGTTGTTGTGGTTTGATTGGAATAATTTCGGTGGCTTTTAATTTATTAATTAGATATTTAAGTGGCGTATCTCCTTTCTTTTTAAAGGTAGGTTGTAGATAAGCCAACACATATTTTACTAATATATCACCAGTAAAATTTGGAATTTCAAGCTTACTGGCAATATGATCAGCTGATTTAGCACGAATTTTTGGTAAATACCAAACATCCTCAGCCACACTCCAACTATCACCACTAGTCTTTGAACCAATTTCAAGTGTTAGTATGTGCTTAGAAGTAAGTTCTAAACGTTTTGCACGTGGTTGATCAATATAAATTCCACGATTCCCAATAATATTATGATCAAAAGGATGAAGATGTAGTGAATCATAATAACTTCCCAAAGTCTCCCTGAAAAAAAAAGAAAAAACAAAAAATCTGGAATTAATAATTAATAACTGTACAGTACATGTACAAATTTTAAAAATTCACCTATCATACTCGTCACTATTTGGATAAAAATATATATTTAGTGTAACGAAAATATAAAAAAATTATGGTAAATTAAATCTATTTAATATTACCTTGAACATTTTAAATCTTCACTAGGAAGGATAGCAATAGATGCCCACCAATCAGCTCCTGGGTTGCAATCTTCATAGTCATCCATACAAACAGTTGTAATGATAGCAGCAATTGATACATTTTTGTTTACCGGAGAATTAATCTTGATTCCAGATCTATATGTCTCGAGCCGCATCCCTTGAGAAACACTAGGGGTATCAAGATCATAAATACGACTAGTACAAGCGTATATAGGCTCAAAAATAGTCCGAATTTCCGGGTCAAGTATCCATTTATGAAGCAACGTTATTGTCTCAGCTAGTTCATGATGTGAGGGTGGATTATTTTTGGTTAAGTTATGAACAATTGACAATAAATCTTTATCAAGATTTGAAAGCCGAGGGTAATTATCGATAGCAAATTGGCGAAACCAGTCTTTAGTCAAAGAAGTGCAAATTCTAATGAGCGCTGAACTGTAAGAAGTTTCTTGATCCTTCAAGATCTTTGGAATAAGATATCTTTCAAGTGCAATAACCATCGCTTCCTCTTTCATACAATCAAGTTGTTTTTGATAGTCAAGTTTTTGAAAAAGAGATTTTTCGATCATTGCTTTAGACTATAGATGATATTTTTTTTATAATAAAAATGTTAGTAAATTTATATTAAAAAGTGTCATAAAAATTGCTTAAATTTTAAACTTTTATACTTTATCATTCTTTAAACCTTCATAGATTGGGTGATCTCCATACTTAACAAGTTCGTGTAATTTATCATGAGGAACGACTCTATCTACAAAAAAATCATCTTCACGATCCAAAAATTCTTCATCAGAATTATTTAAATTTATATGTACAGATGGTGTACCTCGTAAGATTTCAGTTTCCTTAATACGAGTCTTCAACATAAGATTAGTTTTCTCATCACGCATTGGACAGCATAAAGGTTTAGTTGGTGATATTTGATTATTTTCCAATATAATTCTTAATGAATGTAAATCTGCTATGTTCTTATAAAAATCATCCGACCAGTAAATATGAGATGCTTTTAAAGCTTCGAGAACTTTCAATGGAGCAACTATGCATGGGAAGGGTATCATCATTCTATCTTTTACATTGTGACATAATTCCAGAATCATTTGTGCACTTGACTTTGACTGTTCTCTCTCTTGATCATAATCAAACTTTTCAAATTTAATTTTGCTTTCATCTTCAATCGAACAGTCATCATCAATGTTATCTTTATCATTAATTTCCATATCATTTGTGACCTCCATTAACTTCATTTTCCTAAGATTTACTTTGTCAGAAGCAAGTTCAATTTCAAAGCCTATATATTTCTCATTTTCATATGATTCAACACATCTACCAATAATTTTTAATCCAACATCCGAGTAATAAATCAGTTTCAAATTTTTTTTATTCATGAATTTATTAATTAATAAAATTGACTGTGAAACGGTTGCAATGAAATTCCAATTATTAGGTTCACGGAAAGAAGGAACATGCCATTTTGCGGCACGAGAACCGATAAGCACAGGATAACCGGAAAAATCTGGTTCAACAAGTTGGTTGCCTTCATCCTTGACGATATTATTTAAGATAGATAATATTTTAATATTATCATAAGCAAGCGTTCTTGACTTGATATGCATGATATTGGACATATTAATAGACGAGAGAAAAAAAAAATATTATCTGTTATACAGTATAAATAAGGAAATATATGATTACGTCATTATGTATTGTAAATTATATGATGGTTAAATTAATATATTGAAAACTTAAATTTATACTCAGCTTTTTTTAAAGCATAATATTAAGTTTTTATATTACCATAACAAGATCAAATAATTTAATGATTTATCGTTGCATCATTCGCTAATCATATATATTTATTATTACAAAATATTGAATGTATAATTGAATCTAAAATTTAAACAAATAAAATAATAAATTATGAGCAGTTAACAAAGGGAAAGCTTCAAACATGTTCTACCGCAGTTTTTTTTCACTTTAAATTAATATTTTCGCGATTTAGAACTACTTTATTGTTATAGCAAAATCGTACCTAATATCTCCATCAAATTTATCAGCAGAGAAAGCGCGTCCGATTTGAAATTTCTGAATACTATAATATCCAAATCCATTCTCTTTGAACTTCAGAAAGCGTGCATTTAAAGTCCGTCGCCGAGATCACACTTTAATTTGGCGCATTTTGTACAACTTGACCACATGATCAGTAAAAATGTGAAATTCTAATTCTAATACCTTAATTCCGGCAAAAATCACATGAGCCTAAAAATCACGTGTAGGCTATTGTTTCTATACTCGACCAGTACTCGACCAAGTTTTATCTTTTGCGACCTATAGTGTGAAACTAACGAACACATGTGAAAAATGCCCTAAAGCAGGGTTGGGAAAATATGGTGTACGAGGTAAAATTTCAGTACAGTACAGTACAGTTAATACATTGTACTTAAAATTTTAAATACCATATATTTAATAAAGTTACTTCAAATGCTAACTCTGTCAATATTGATTCATTTATGATAAAATAAATACTATTAAATTCCTCTCATTGAGACGAATCTAATGATCTTAATTTTATTGAAATCTAATCACTGGACCACTTAAAACCAAGGTATATATGATTGAAAATACCTCTGTAATTTATATAAAAAAATGTACTTGTACTAAAAAAACTCAGTACAGTACATTTCCCAACCCTGCCCTAAAGTATTACAAATCATTAATTCATTTTATCAAATTCACTGTTATTTAATTGTATTTAATTAGACTATCTGATCCGACTATTTCCTATTCACTGCGGAATTTTATTGTTAAGATATTACTAATATTTTGTTAAATCTTACAAATGTTGAACATTACGTAAATAAATGAATTTTTAACCTCGCTAATTGACCTCAAACCAAATCTTACCACGTTATCATGTCTGAAGAAAGTACTATTCCAATGCCATTTTTCTGCAAATGGTTAAATGTTCATTCAAACCCAGTACTTTGAAACCTGGAGAAGCTTAGAAAACATGTCGTTAAACATGACATTAATTATCTCTTCAAGGAGATCATATTTACATATGCCCGTGGGAAGGTTGCAAGAAATATGAGATTGATATTATTACATGTACTGTATAATGAAAGTTACAAAAATATTTCAAGTATTTTTTGGCTTTGCTAACTTCACCATACTGTAGAATTTATAATAATCTATTATTTATCTTACAGAACATTTGCATGAACACATCCAACAAAGACCATTTAAGGTAAGCTAAAAAACTATCCCCGATTTGTTTTCTCTTAATGTACTAAGTGGATTCTACAGGCGATGATGAAATGAAAAATTGAATTCAGGTATTGTTACCACAATCATATCGTAACTTATTATTATTACCTTTCCCTTGTTATTATTGAAATGATGTGTTATATTACTTGTCCTAACATATTTTCTTTTCTTGTTAAAGGGAAAGTTAGTGGTGAGTCGATGTTCTTATGAAGGAAGAAGTTAATAATGATGAGGCTAGCACTCTTGTTAAAGGAAAAGTCAACAAAGATGAAATCTCACCAACAAAATTATCTTATCGTCAAAGAGAGCGTTAACAAAGACACAGAAGACTTTATGACTAGATGTAAGCCATTTATTTATTGGAGAAGAACTGAAGAAGTTGACTTGTCCAATTATGGTCATAATAATCATGATGGTTTGCCTATTGTGCCAAAAGAAAAGTTAACAGAGGAGGAAGAGGATAAACTTCTTTGGGAAACATTTCGCAATATATTTAAAGGGTCGAAGGCCGTCACGTTGTTAAGTAAAGCTCGTGAAATGTTAGGAATGGAAGTTTGAGCACTTAAAGAGGCCAATTCATTATGGTAAGCATTTGAAACATTTTAATTTTTTTATAATTTTATTTCTTATAAATATATCTTTAATCATTACCAATAATTTAAAAATTTGTTAAATTTGCATCAAAGAGAATTATGCTACTGCGCAAATTTAATTATTAGCTGTTTTTATGTATTTGTTCCCATTTATACAAATGTATCATTATAATATGGACATGTTTTCACTGGTCGACATGATAGCCATCCGAGTTATACAAATCTGATTGGTTTGATTTGTTAAAAAACCTTTATGTAAATGTTGTAAGGTAGTGCGTCCAGAAAAAGCGTTTAAGAAAACTTAAGAAAATCTTGCAAAAACATGTAACTCCTGTTTAGCCAACCGTCAAAAAATATATAAACCAAAAAAACATTAAGTGAAATAAATCCACAAACGGAGATAATATTTTTTTTTTTTTAACAATGCTTATATTTTTTATGGGCCGTTGCGAAAAGATTTGTACCTCACCCAAAAAGAAAAGGATTTACACCAAGAAAAGTACCGTGTGACTAAATTAAGGGCTGAAAAAAAAATAGACTTCGAATAACAAATTTTACTAATATTTTTTACTCTACTTCGCATAGTTCCTCCATAAAACGAAGCGGCGTACCATTAACTGACAACAAAAAGTTGATGATAATTAACGTTTACAATTATTTTTCAGGGGCTAACTCAGACTGGAAGAGCCACGGGGACAATACTTTTATGCCGCATAAACCTCTCGGACTTCCTAAATTGCAACCCAACGAAAACATTTCAGAAATGCACATGATATTGCCTTTTCTGATGAATTAAGAAAACCAAAACTTTTGGAGCTGGCTCGAATGAATAAATAAAAGGTTCCATTTTCTTGTGTTAACAATACGAACATGGAGTTAATTTTACCCCTCCTTACCATTGCAAACTGCAACCTATTGAAGATGTTTGGTCAGTTGTGAAGGGTGAAGTTGCACGCTCAGGTCCACATTCAAACCCTTTATCTGTTAGAAATACACTACTAAATGCATTTAAAGAAAAAATTTCACTGTAGGACTTTTGGAGAAGAGCACTTAAAAATACTAAGGAATATTTTGAGTCCGACGAAAGCATACAAAGCATAAATTAATTGATGAATTTAGTAGTTCCGATGAGGATCATGTAATTTAACGTTGTGCCCGTGCCCCAAATCAACGATCGGCCTAAATTTTCGGCCCACCTTTATAATGCCTTAAGAATTTTCTAGCATCATCGGGCATATTGAGATTTCGGGCATTCCCAATATGTACTGATAATATTTATAAAAAAAATAAATTTACATAATAAAATTTTTATTATCGACGCAATGTAAATCTTTTCGTAACGGCCCATAATTATTTTGATAAACCAAATTTATCAATACGAGAACTACAGTACGTACTGTACTTTACTTGTAGTCAGTCTTTAATATACATGTTTGTTACGTTAAAAAATATAGATGAAATAAATACAATAAATGCAATAAATGATAAAAATATTGCAACAAAATATTCAAAAGATTAATAAATGAATAAGGTTTACTTATAACTTTTTAAATTCATAAAAAAGTTGATAATCCTCATAATCGTGTTTCTAATAATAATACCAAAAAATCCAATTGGACGAGTTTGTCTTAATACAAATGCTCTAGCTCTCAACACATCGGCAGAATTTCGTTCTCGCATTTCATTTTCATATTCTTGGATGTAAGAAATATAATTTTCTGGAGTATAATTAAGCAATGCTTGAGAAAGAAGATCTGCATCTTTAATAGCATTATTTGTTCCCAATCCAAATATAGGATTAATAGCATGAGCAGCATCCCCTAATAATGTCACTCGGCTGCTTTTCCAAGTATTGACGGATAATGGGTCAAGATCTTGTAATTTTCTTCGTTGTGTAGGATTATAAGTTTTAAATGGATATTTTTCTGGATCATTTGGAGCTGTTTTAGGAACATAGTCCCATAATTTTAATTGAATATCGGTTAACTCACTTTTTGGTCTTAAAGTTTGAATTAAATGTTTAGTATAATTAATAACTGATGCTGGGTCTTTATCGTCAACTTTAATTTTATCTGATTCTTCAATATCTAATTTCGATGGATAAGCAAAACTAAGTGTTACTTTATAATGAGGTTCGACTGAATCATTTTTATGGTCTGGATCTTGTTCAACCGGAATTAAACGGAAAAGACTAAATGTCCAGTCACCCTTTATTCCAAGAGAAAGTTGAATTAAAGAATTGCCGTGAATTCTAATTGATTTATCCATAAGACTTTTAGGAACGGCAACATTTGCGTTGAGTATATTTACACCGTAATCGAAAACTTTTAATTCGGGTATTTTTTGTTTTCGAACTACAATAATTTAATAAAGGTATGAAGAAAAATTAATTAATTAATATTTAATAAATAATGCATAAATATTTTATAAATTAATACCTGGAGAATTAATCCCATCCGCACCAACTAGAATGTCGCCAAATTCTCGTGAACCATCCTCAAAAATCGCCCAAACACCGTTTTCAGTTTCTTCAAATCCAACACATTTTTTATTCCATTGAACTGGCACATCTTCCAACAAAACTTCTCTAAGTATATCTCGATAAGAAATAATAGCAGAGATTTCTTTAGGAACTTTCGCCAATTCATGAACATCTTTAACTTGTTTAAATGGAGGCCTAACTAAACGTTTTCCTGTATCATCAGTAAGTGTAATTCCATTAGATTCTGCATCTGGAATTGGATTCGGAATTGCTTTGGAAAGTTTTGAAGCGATTGAAGGTGGAACACAATTCATAAGAGACTTTGCCCCACGAACGTTTATGCTGATAAAATAGCCTTGCCATCGGTCTATTATGAGTTTTTAAATATTGATTTGGCAAAGTCAGATAAAAAATAAATATAATTAAATGAAATAACAACAAAATAAAAAAAAGAATAAATAATTTGAATTACCAGTAGGACTGGCTTCACGTTCAAAGATTTTTACGTTAAATTCTTTTTTATCTTTATTTTTTATTAAAGCATGATAAAGAGTAAGTCCTCCTGGACCTGCCCCAATAATAAGGACAGTTGGAATTTTTCCTTCTTGCATATTATAAAATAATCAATAAACTCGACGTTTCAACGTTTCAAATTTTTTATTCTTTAAAAAAAAATTAATATGTAAATATATTAGCCTTGTTCTTTTAACTTTCTTCCAAGAATAAAGAATTGAAGGAAGGCACTTAACCATTATTTATAGAGTCATTTCTGTCGAATTTCTTCTAGATTAACGATTCTAATTCTTTCAAGCCACAACGTAAAAATTAACTAAACCAAAAAAAAAGTCATTATTAAATGATAATACTATTTTTAACTTGGCTTTTTGATACCGAAATTTATCCGAAATCTTACACATTTCCTTTTATGGAAATCAACTAATTAATCAACCAATAGTAATTAACTTTGCTGACCAATAATTTAAATTGAATTCCGAAAATTTTACCGTACTGGGCTATTTATATTATGAAAATGCACTAATGCATTATTGTTTGTTTCTACGAAGAAAATACATATTCTTTTTTTTCACCATATTTCAGTTTTTGGCATAGATGTGCATTAACAAGAAATGTACCAGCATAATCGAACGACTGACGTACCTATCTTGCGTAAAAAAATTACACATCATAGCAAATATTCGCATACGTTTCATTAAATTCTAATTCTTGTGATCCATGGAATATTCAGGTTACTCTTAGAAAAGTTTCTATTTTCTCGTATTATAGAAAATTTTTTTATTATTCATATGAACTAATATTACAAGCAAGGCAGTGTATTGGTGTCCAATAGAAACTGGTGACTTTACCTTTGTCTCAATAATAGAGTAGGAAAATAAAAATTAGTTTCATCAAAAAAACATATTGGTGGGTCGCATGGATACACTCTCCTACAAAAAGTATCCGGACAGATCTTTTTTAAAAAATAAATTTAAATCGCATTGTCTGATTTATCTCACCATCCAGTGATTGTAAACGGATGAATTATAGCTCATTAGATTCGACATAACCAGGCGCCTTTAATGGTAGTTGTTCCATATTTCTAGGATCAATGGATAAAACGTTATATACAAAAGTCTTTAAAATGAAAAGTGTAAATAACTTTTATTTATCGGTGATAAGGACATGAAAACGCTACCATTAGAAGCGTCCGGAACGTTGCCTCAAATTTTAATATGAAATAGTGCCGATCTTATCCAGATTGCCAATTAAATTAAAGGAATTAAAATGTAATATATTGATTTTTGTTTTCTTATTAATTTTAAATATTTTATCTGACAAACTGTTAACCAGCTAAAAATTTTTTTTCGTTGAAGTTATTTGCATAAGAATGCTAATTCAGAGTAAAATATTTTTTTTATTTTTAATGGTGTGACGAACATTTATCTAATTATTGCTTTAACTGCGATTAATAGAAAATAATATTGCACTGATAAATACTAAATTTAATATACATATATTGGTTTTCGAAATTTCGAATATGAAAACAAAATTGTAAGTTGAGTGTATTAAAGTTTTGGACTCAAAAATATATAATAAATGAAGCAGAGCGCTTTTTTTTTTTTTTTTTTTTTTTTTTTTTTTTTTTGAGCAAATCCGATCACACTTTATTGAAAAGAAAAATAATGCCATATAGGACTTTACAGGATCTTTAGTTTGATTTGTCTTTAATTTTAAAAAAAATAAACAAGAACACTAAACTAAACAAGCTAACCTAAAAGTATAAAATACAAGAAGGCCCGCCGGCTCAAAAAAAAGGGGGTAGAAGGAAAAAGAAAATCAAAAAGGGGGAAAGGGGAAAAGAAAAAATAATAAAAACTCACCCTAAAGGGCGAACAACACGAAAAAAAACAAAAAGGAGTAAAAAAGATGAACATCTAAAAATATAAATTTGTATCGTTTAACCACTCTTTTTACCCACGTATTCTAAAACCTAAAATTAACTAAACTAATTTACGTAAAACATCTATAATTTCCGCTAAGACCTTAGATCGTGATGCTTTACGGGACTTGTCCTTCTTTTGGTAAATTATCTACAAGCATGTGAAGCATGTGATACAGTATCAATCATTGACCATGTTGTCACGAATTCAGTAGATCTTGATAATTTAAGTCAAATTTGATGAACTTCATTTACGTAACTTGTTAAACAAACTTAACAAATTTTGTCAATAAATGGAAATGTATTCGTTTCGGCGTTATTTTCTTTCCCAATTCCTTTTGTTTCTTACAAAAATGCAACAAGAGTTATTTTCACCGTTTTTGAATAATCTTGAAAAATTATTTAAGTCAAAAAAGGATTATGATGTTATTATAAAAGCTGGAGAAGATAATGATCAAAAAGAAATTTACGCTCATTCAAACATTCTTCGCTGTCAATCAGATTATTTTGATACAGCTTTTTCTTCTAATTGGGCTGAAAAAAAGGATGGGAAATATATTTTTAAGAAACCAAATGTTTTGCCACATATTTTTGAAATTATTATAAGGTATTGAAAATTTCAATTAAACATTAAAAAATTATTGTTTATTGATAATCTAAAATCTTATTTAAAATCGAAATTTAGATATTTCTATTGTGGTCAATTAGATTTAAATGTCAAAAATGGGCCAGATACCTTAAAATTGTTAGTCGCTACAGATGAACTTGGGTTGAATATACTCAGCGAATATATCCAAGAATTTTTAATTAAAAATCAAAAAAAATTCTTACAAAATGATCCTATTGGAATTCTTGAAGTTGCTTTTCAACATGAAACTTTTACAATGTTGAGAGATTATGGTCTAGAAGCAATCTGTGAAGAACCAAACATTTTATTTGGAACTGACAAAATATTATCATTGCCTGCACAGATATTGGAATCATTACTTAAACAAGACGACCTTGTACTAGATGAAATTGAAGTATGGAATAATTTGATCAGATGGGCTCATGCACAACAACCTACCGTTAATAAGGATCCTTCCGAATGGACTAAAGATGAATTAATTTTAATGGAGAGGACGCTATCGAGATTTATCCCATTAATTAGATTTCATGATATAACCTCTGAAGAATATTATGACAAAGTAGTACCATATGATGATTTGCTACCAAAAAAACTAAAAAACGAAATCTTGAAGTTTCACTTTGTTCCACAAGCAAAACAGATAGGATCTCTACCATCAAGAAATGCTGTTAATACTATTGATTCTGTTCTTATAAATTCAGAACATTTAGCAATATTTGCAGGTTGGATAGACAAAAAAGACGAATCTTTGAAAATGATTCCTTATGAATTTAATCTTATCCTTCGTGCTAGTAGAGATGGCAATACAGCAGGAGCATTTCATGATAAATGTGATAACAAAGGAGCAACTATTATAGTTGTTAAAATTGAGGAAACTAATCAAATAGTTGGTGGATATAATCCGCTTGATTGGGAAGGAAGTGATATCTGCAAAAATACTCAAGATAGTTTTATATTTATTTTTGACAATCATAGAGATATTAATACGGGTAGAATTGGAAGAGTAACTGACGCTTCTCATGCTTTGGTATGTAGTAATCGGTGGGGGCCAATTTTCGGAAATGGACATGATTTATCAATGAATTGTGTTGGCAAATGGGTTTCCAGAGGATCATCTACTTATTCTTATCTTGGTATTCCATATGATTTTGCTAATGATGATTATGAAGTTTTTCAGGTGGTTAAAAAATAGATTTTAATATGTTAAAAAGAACAAGCAAGTTTTTCCATTAAAATTAACAGTAAATACTAATATCATAGTAAAATCATCCAGAATTCAGACACTAATTATTAACCGATCTTAAAACATAAGAAACCTAAATCGTTCCCTTTCATTAAAGTCCTGCTTTATGAGAGTTCTAAACTGATACTGCTGCATGATAATGTGATCTCGATCCTGATACTATATTCGACATTGATTCCTCCGAGATGAGAGTTCGTCTCAAAACTGTGCGATCGATCCTATGCGTTGCGTGTTCGACAGCAATCCTGTTGATTATTTGTTTCGACAACGATCTTAGTGGTGATGTGTTTGATTTCGATCTATTTGATTGTGAGTTTGGTATCGACCCCATTAATTAGTTAATTCGATATCGATCCTAAAGATAATTGAGTTTGGCTACGATACTGACATGGATAATACCGACCCTCCTTCACGAGGTTCTAGACAGATCCAGTTACACAAGAACTTTACAGAAACCCGGTGTTTTACACTAAGTAGTCACGTGTCTGATTCCTATTCGTCAGAAATCGCGCTGATCACGTTACTGCGTATTACGAAACAATCGTCTCGACGTCGCAAAAGTATCATTCTTGATAGACATGAGGTATTATTCTTGATAGACTTTACTGTAAAATATATTATGCATATCAAGATTCTCCTGCATATCTATCAAGAATGATACTTTTGCCTCGACGTCTCGTTATGACGAATCGTGTTTCATCTTTCTATGACCAATAGATGATGAAACAATGAAACATCCCTACCAAAAGTCTATAGTTGGTTAAGATCGGCAAATAGCTTTTTTAAAAATGGAATTACTACTGTAGATCTAACCAACTTTTTTTCAGGCTTAGCTAAGAACTCGTTCTATAAAAAAAAAAAAATAGAAAAAATTTTCAATTTTTTTAAAAAATGGCAACTTTTAAATGTGGAATGATTATTAGTCTATACTTTAAGTAGTGAGGTGCTTCATCATCTATTGGTCGTAGAAAGATGAATAATAGTTACAATTTCAACCTTTAGATGCTCCTGGTTACGACGAATCTAACGAACCATATTTTACCCTTTTATGATCACTGGATGGGCGAGATATTGTAGATCTGTCCGAATACTTTTAATAGTAGCTTCGATCGACATTTCACGTGGAAAAGAGTGATGATTAAATAATGATCGGGTGTGCTACTATTAATGAATAATAAATTCAGCGGCGTAATTTACTGTGTTTAGCTTTTCCGTTTTCTTTTTTAAACGAAGGGTGATCCCTTTGTCTATTAACTTATTTTAGTTAGTTTTTCTTTACTATAGTCATTCTACACAAAGTTAGTCCTTTGAAGAATATGAAAAATGAATGAATAATAAATGATTTACACTATAATTTTTTTTTTAACTTTCGAAATGTCAAATAATCACATTCCTACAATTTTAATTATTGGTGCAGGGCTTGGTGGATTATTACTTTATCATGGAATTCAAAAACACTTAAATAAAAATGTGAAAAAATTTAACGTAGTAATATTTGAGCGAGATATTGGACCACAAGGTATATTATTAATATTATTTCAATTATTTTTACTTGATAATTAAAAAATATTTTTTTTTTTTTTTTGATCAGATCGGTGGCAAGGGTATAATATTGGAATAAATTCTTATGGAATGATGTCTTTAATTTCTTGTCTTCCAGAGACACTTGTTACTCGTCTTCCAGAAGTTATACCAAATCCAATACATGAAAAAGAATATCCTGGTGTATTACATTGTGATCATAAAGGANTCTTCCAGAAGTTATACCAAATCCAATACATGAAAAAGAATATCCTGGTGTATTACATTGTGATCATAAAGGAACAGAATTATTCAGAACACCTCCAACACACTTTAAATCTTTATTTGAACTAACATCCATTCGTTCACTTTCACTTATTTCTTATCGGAATAGATTAAGAGATTTGATGTTGGAAGGCGTAAATATACAGTGGGGAAAGAAATGTATTGGATACGATGAATTTGATGATGAAGTTTGGGCTATTTTTCAAGATGGAACGAGAGTAAGGGGGGATATCCTGATCGGATGCGATGGAATTAATTCTTCAAGTATTTTATTTATTTATTTATAAAAAAAGGAAAAAAAATTTATTTAGCATTAACAATTTTTTCTTTCTTTCTTTCTTTTTATAGTACGAAAACAAAGATTACCACATTTACAATTATTTGATTATGGAATTACACAGATACTTATAGATGTCACCCCAAATAAGAAACTTATGGATCGTATTATTGCTCTGAATGGAAATTTTCTATTTCAAAAAACTTTTGGTCAAGATGGTGACACAACATTTTCTTTAATGCGGTTAATTCCAATTGAAAATGATATAACAGAAAATACACCAGATGATCAGATACATTATCGAATAACCTTTTGTTATACTTACTATACGTACTGGGATACGAGAAATAAGAATATTAATGTAGATGACAATAATCCTCAATCAGTAATTGATCATATCAAAACATTGATCAAACAGCATAGGGAACCTTGTGAGTTAACAGAAATTTTGTTGGAATTGGTTTCAATTGCACCAGCTTCGCCACCAAAAAAATATGAAAAACCATTTTATAGAACTTATAATCCTCCAAGGAGAAGACCAGTACAAGATATTAATCCAATGTCTGTTGAAGCTTGGGAATCTACGAGGGTCACCTTATTGGGCGATGCATTACACGCCATGAATCCTTTCTTAGGTTATGGTATATAACTAATTTATGTAATTGATTTTATTCGATTTGATATTATTTTTTTTTTTTTTTTTTTTAAATTAGGTGCAAATAATGCTTTACAAGATGCTGAATTGCTTGTAAAGTGTCTTTCAAATTATGAAAAAGATGGATATAAAAATTGTATACGAGAATATGAAAATGAAATGAGAGTACGATCATCAAGAGATGTATTAGAATCAAGAGAAAACTGTTTAACTCAAAATTTACCTAAAAGCAAATATGGATACTTATTTAATGATATTTATTTATCAGGAAAACTTTAATTTGAATAAATAAATAATTTATCAAAGACTTTTATAGAGAAATACAATGTAGTATAGACGTCATCATAATTAAAAATTGAGTATTTATTCGAATAGGTTGTAAAATTGTAAGTTTTATTTAAACGGATTAGCATCCGGATTCACTATATTCTTTAAATATTATAAATTTAAATGAAATATTTCCTATACTACTTAAGGTTATACATCGCAATTATCTGTTCATCCAACTGGAAAATTTCATGAACAGAAGGAAATAATTTTTAACGTAAATATTTCAGAAAATGTGAATACAGAAATATATAATGATTGGATTAAACGTGTCACGTTGGCATACTAATTTGCCTAAGTTTTATTATTATATTTTTCTAAAAGAAATAAAGAAAGTATATGTAAAAGATTAATATTAATACATTATGTCATCATCATCATCATCATCATCATCATCATCATAAGATAAAGAAAAGGGATTCCGCTGATTCCGCTGATTCCGCTTATGATAATTAAAAGAATAATATTCAAGAATTTTAACATAAAAATTATTATCAAAAATATCCTTAAATGGTTTAATTTTTCTATAGAATTCTGAAGGAGTAATTTCTTCAAAATTAATGTATGGAATGAATGGTTGAAGAAAATTACCAATTATTTCTATTTCACTAGGTGTCCAATTTGATGCGTCAGATAATAGTTCAGATGATTGTGCAATACACCATTCCATAAGCTTATCCCAAATTTCAATTGGTCTTAAAGAATGATCATTTTTTTCAAGTAAATAAAGAAGAGTATCTTCTTTAATATTAATGAAATCACTTGCTTTAAAGATTAACGAAGGATCTCTTCGAATGGTCTTTTTATAGAATCGGGATAATTCTTTAAATTGAGAAAATTTTGTTGTAATATCCTGAATTAAAACCAGATTTTGTTCTAATAATCTTTTGTTTTCAAGGAAATATTTCTCAATAAAATTGCATAGATCACCAAGACACAGTTCATCAGCAGCAATTAAAAGTTTAACATTTGTTTTGATATTATTCATGGAAAGGTCAATATTACTGCTATATATATAACTAAAAAAAATTTGAATAAAATTTATGTTAATTTTTTATACTGTATATATCATATAAATGTAGGTAACATAATAAATAATTTTTCTTACTTAATAAGTATGTTAAATATTTTAACTGAAATATTTGGTTTTTTCAACTTAATAATATTATTTTCTTTTTTTATCCAACAGTTTGATAGTGCAGCACGAAAATAAGGAGAACGGATTTTCAATATCAAAGAATGTACTTTAAAAGTTTCTGTATAAGGGTATTCACCAACTAAGATTTCAGTATCATAAAATTCTGTAGATTCAAGAATATCATTATATTCCTTGTGTAATACGTTCGACAACTTTGATGACATTTTTAACAAAAATTTACGAAAATTTACGAAAATATATAAAATTGAAAAATAAATTGTTTATTGTCTTTGTCTTTGGTCTGGTTGATTTATATATATTTTAGTTAGGTCGCACTAATGATGTAATGATCGGTGTTGTCACAAATTGTACTAGACTGTACCTAACATTTAACTTCATTGTAATCTCATTATGTCACCATATTTCCACTAAATTCCACCTACAACAAAATCCTAACAAAAAAGCATAAAACATAATTGGAAAAAAAAGTAGTAATAGCCAAAGTCCAGTTAAATCTTGTTTATCATGCCTGTAAACAAAGAATCAGCAATTAAATTTCACATTAGAATTATAAAATTATATTATACTCTCTGAATTAATTGTGATGAAATATAAGACAATCACATGACTGAAACATCTATAAATTATAAAAGTTAAAAGTTGAATTTTATATAAAAAATTGAGAATATTTACATTATCAGTTATTGGCTAGCCACCCTACAATATTAATAAGAAAATTTACCAAATTAGAAATCTATATCAAAATAATAAGTAGAAGGTAAAGATTTAAAAACCCAAGGAAATATCCATATAAATATGCATCAATCTAAGGGAATCAATAAATTTCTCTTTTAATACGCAACTTTTGTGATTTTTTTTTTTTTTGAAATTTACGTTTAAATAATTTTTATACAAAAAATAAATTTTTACGTGTCATAATTCAATTAATTTTGCAATTAATGTGTGTAGAATTTTTATGCTTTAATAATAAGATAAAAATAAGAAAAATTTTATTTTCACTTTTATTTACAGAACGTATTATCTTTATTAGAAATTTTTTTTCGTAATTTCACAAAAAATCACGAAATCACGTGGGGTAGTAAAGTGACGGGTAAATACCGTATACATAATTACATATACTGTGCTATCCAAAGTATTAAACTATCTCGAATTTTTTTCGCGTCTTTGTCTTTCTTGTCCTGAAGACTTTAATGAAACTACAGTTTAAAGGATGGGAAAATGATTTTGACCCCGAAGACTTCACCGAACGGTCGAGCATACCCTTGTATCAAAGTTCGTTTCATACGTTGTAGGAACTACAAATAAGAAGTGGAGGAAGGTCGCTTCTGCCATTAATAAAGATGAAATTCTTAAGGTGATGTAAGCTTGGTCGAAAGAAAATAGAAAAAAATCAGAAGTGGGAAAGTGGCGAGGAGATAGAGAGGGAGTTGGACGATGTCAAAACAACCACCTAAGCGACTTGACAACGCGTCGGGTTAGTTAGGGAGGCTATCTCCGGTGGACTCCATTTTAAGTTTGTGTGAAGGCCAAAGACAACCCGTCTTAGCGCCAAGAACGACGCGTTCGTTCACAACCTCTAATGACCTGCTTTCTGGGATGATGTGAAGATATTTTGTAATAAGGTTGAGCTCGAAAAAATCGACGCAAGCACTTAATTGTCAGAGAAGAAGGTGGATCAAATTGAGGTATTTGTTGGTATAACTTGCACTAGGGTTTTTTGCTCATGCTAGAGTTACTGGTATGGCAATCAGTTTTTCGTTTGACGGCATCTTTCATTTCAATTAGGTGGAACAACAAATTCAAGCAACGAATAATGCCTCAATTCAGCTGGATGTAATCCAAAACAAAGGAGTTATCTGAGGAGGCGTGGCCATGACCCACAAGTTGACGAGAAAACATCGAAAGAAGTGATGACAAATAAAATATTACCTTGAATTTTCATAACAAGAATTTTTTATCATATCGACAGGATGAAAAATCAACAACGACAGTCAAAAGGAATGATGCTATAGCTATCAGTACGTTGCAAACAAATTGTTTGTGCTACACATTCACTACGTTACTGACAGTCGTTTGAATTAACTCAGACTACTTTGAGAATGATTTGAAAGAAGTAGCACCTGTATCAAAAGATTGGTTACACAATTTGGTGAATCAAAAAATCCGCTTTGTGAATCAACTGGTATTGTTTTCGAAATGACTGCATAGCAACAGACTTTTGTGATAAAACGTCTTTTATGTAGTGACCTTATGTTATCTGAAGAAGGTTTCGGGTAACTGATTTTTTGCAAAGAAAAAACAAATTGACGCAAATGCCCTAATGGACGAAACTTTATTATTGATTTTAATATTCATATCGAATCAGAAAATGCTAGAGAAGTGATGAATATGATGCTATCAAAGAGGAAGGGAATATGCGGATCCTAGGCCATTCACACGTTTAAGAAAAATATCTATAACTAATTTGTTTCTATAACTAATTACAAGATTTCCATCTATACTCTTTTATTACATTAGATTTTCGAAATAAATTATCCCACCCATATCTACGAAATATTTGTTTATCTATATCGCAATCATCCGCACAGACTATGTAAAAGATTGAACTTCCCCGAGATTAAGTAATCTCGAACCTACAGTAACCTACAGTATAAATTCGGGGGACTGTAGTAAGTCTACAGTCATTTATTGGATCCTAAAATACCGTGAAATGAGGCACGTAGAGTCGATTAGATTAGATAATATACTTTATTTCACTGCGCCTATTATACGCGTGATGATTAAAGATTTTCTCGGCGAAGATCAAATGCCGATATATAGCAAGAAAAGTAATATATCCGTGTTGTTTTGGAACGTCTATAGAGCCAGAAAATTGATTAGCGTCGGGATAAAACCAACATACCTTGTTATCACTTTGCGGAATATACTCGTTTGTTTGAATGATAGATAATGTTGGTGATGTAAATAATAGTATAAAGTTTGATTATTTCGCTTGATTTTTCGTTTTACTTGCACAAAGCGGATAAAAGGATTCACTAACAGGGACATATATAATTCACAGGATCGATTTTGTTATACGCTTTTGGGAAAATTACGTTAATATGATCGCATCAAGAGCCCATTTTTTAATAATACAGTAATAATACACATTATAACTAGTATTTACCTTAAAACGATTGAATTCTATAGTAAAGTTATATGTGTAACATTGAAAAATCCTGTTTTCCAAATATAAAACTTTCCTTATGCTAGCACCGATGATGTTAATGGACCGATTCAAAGTTTAAGAGTGAGTTATTTTTTATTAAAATTAATTTAAAATTAAATTTTATAACATACTAATTAAATCTATAAATTAGCCGGATATTATGAACCAAATGCGTTGTTTTACAGTAAAATTCGAAATATAGTGGACACAAGAAAATTTTTAGGGTACTCGGGTTACTCGGCTAGTCACTTTAATTATATACAATTATACTTTATTATAGTTATACTACGCCATAATATATATATATACTGTACATATGCCACGTGTTAGATATCTTTTCTAATAACCCGACTAGCCGAGTAACCGAACAATCCCGACAACAAGTATCCACTATTTTGCTGTAATCGCAAATATCCTAAACCTTAATTGATTTGTTTATAACAACTAATATTCTTACGCCCGTAAATTCTTATCCATTACAAACTGCTAATTATATTCAAGAAGTCCTTGTTCCTGAAACAGCAATGAGATTATATTTGAAGACATTGATGGTAATAGTTCTTTGGAATACAATGATAGAAAGTAGTGATTTTGGTGATTATGCTGCATATTGTGATGATTATTAAAAGAATGATTATTTTGCTAACGTATAATTAGATAATAAAAATCGAAAAATTAATAAATGAAGAAAAGATTTTTTTATTTGATACATGATTCAAAAAACTTAAATATTTCGTGCATCACGTGTACGATAGACGCTTATCAAGACTTTCGTATTCATAAATTCTTCATGACTTCACCTAATAGTACGATTCAACCAGAAGTAACAACCTGAATACTGCACTAGAAGCAAATCCCATTCCTGACGGCATGAATCCTCCTAACAACGAAATCCAGGAAAATAATGATTAATTATAATTATTAAACTTCTTTTTTATCGAGATGCCAGGACGCAATGTGCACCCTCATACACTGTTACGTTTGACAGTGGAATTTAGTTAGGATTTAATTATCATAATGTGTTGTTTTAATTTTACCGCTTATTATAAGGACAGAATTTTATCTCAAAAAACATTATTTACCACATTATATAACACATCATGCATTTTTGTGCGAATGCACAGGAAAAAAACAACAAATTAATGCTAAATAATATAAAATAATCTCTTTATATTATAATTGTATAAAAAGATTCACGTTTTGATGCTTTCACATTTTTACACTTTCATTCTTCTGTTTTAAGATCTTTTTTATAATAGTTAAAGAAATTTTTATTTGTAAATAAATATTTTGCGTGTTTTTTTGTCTATATGAAGTTTCATAAGGAATCGAGGATTTTTTTTCTCTATTTTAATACAAGAAGGCGATAAAAAATTTTTTTAACATTGAACAGATCTTATGTGATTAGTAATTTTTACGGTCACTTTCAAAATAAACAAACAAAATTTTTACAAACAAAAAAATTTAAAAATCTACGAGATCCAGCCTCAAAAATTTTTTTTCATTTTTAAATACACTGAAAAAAAATGTAAAAAACGAGTTACTTTCAGAAATTCAAAAACAGGAACAAATAATAAGAAATTGAAAATATAATGTACTTTATATAGTTTTAATGACCCACACCACAACTTGGTCCTTCATCATCAATGCAATCATCTCTTTTTTCAATAGTTGTAGGAGCTGATTGGGAAATAACGGCAAGTGACAAGAGGATTGCGAGAAGAAAATTTAATTTCATGATGTCTTAAGGAAGAAGGAAGTGTTTTATGGTATGGGATTTTGAAAGTTGTTCAAGTAAAGATTGAAAGTTTTATATAGATTTTAAAATGTATCTATTTTTTTATTTTTTTGAGAATGAAGATGGAAATGCGATAAAATCCGAGAATATTTATATTGTCGAATTGAGTGATCTAATGATCATTGGGAAATTTTTCTACTGCCACAATTAAATATTTCCGATAATTAATATTATTGTATATGTCCTATGTAAGCTGT